CAAATTATCCGGCAGGTTGTTTCGTTACAAAATTTTGATTATATCAAAGAATAACCTTTTACCAAAGAGAGGATCTAACTATATGTAACAACCGACAAAACAACCAGAAAACAAATGTTGTGAGGTTCTTTGTGCAATAACCAAAACGTCCACAAAGATATGTGAAAAATGTACCAAAAACTATAAGGAACATGTCACAAAAGCATAGAAAAAGCGTACCACAAGAACATAAATTCCTATTCAAAAATTGAAAAAAAAAACTCAATAAAAAGGAAAATAAAGGACATAATATTAACAAACAAGAGAAATAATAAAAATCATCGGTGATCGATAATTAATATTAAAATTAATGTCGTAGTTGGCTATAAAAATTTAAATTATTAATATGGAAGCTTTTATTATTCATGTAGCTTTGTGTTTATATATATTTCTTCAATTCCAGATGATACAAATGTATATACTAAAACTTAAATTAATATTATTGAAGTAATCCTATAAATTAATTAAATTTAACTTAAAATTTACTTGAAAAAAAAAGTATACAGTGGGTGTTAAGCATTGGATCTTTAAAAAAATCAATGATTTGGTTCTTTTGAAGTCATGAAATAAATGGTAGCCATGCATGGTATGTAGCAGGATATCAAATAGCGTTTCGAAAACGTTATAGTAGACGCGATATTACGGTAGCGCCACCGTCCAAAACTGTTATTCATGGTTTTTACGGTGGGTCACGGATTCACACCGATCACGGTCGATTGCGCCCGCAATTTAACGGGAAACGGACGATTGCGCCCGTAATTTAACAGGAAATGGACGATTGCGTCGATAATGGGACACAATCACCGTTATTCAACCGTGATTTGCCATATCTTCAAAAAAAACCACTGCTGATCTCAACGGAGATTTGCCTCTCCAAGTTCTACTTGAAGAACCATCCTTTTCACGTCCTTCTGCAAAGCTCAGTTGTCGATTCTGCAACAAAGATATCTCGTTATCCAGTAAATCGATCGACACTAAGACGACGGTCACGTCGCGAGGTAACTGCAAGCCTGGAAGATGACTACCTTCATTGTTGACGAGCTTTGACGTGATCGATGGCGTGGTTATGGAAGAAGAGAAGCAACACACACAAAGCTTAAAGGAAGGGAAAAAGGGGAAATAGATGAAACACGCGGCCTCTCGATTGAAAGCAAGGAAAGAAAAAAAAGAGTGAAACAACATCCACTCTTGGTGAAATAGGGCTAGAATTCTTGATATAATAAAAATGGGTAATTCATATAATAAGTCCATGTATTCTTTAGGATTTTTTTAAAATTGCCAACACTTTTGCTTCTTTTACAAAATAGTCACCAAAATTTCTGGAAGTTTCAATCTAGTGACTCAACATGCAACTTTGCTTTATCTCGATTCACTGCACTATCGGCCGTGACATCGCAACCTACAGAAGTTGCCACAGATAACCCCAACTGTGTGGAAATGTTCTGAAGTTGCCAATTCTAGTGTTTTTGTTATACTTTATTTAGGATTATGCCTTTATATTTTAATTTAATACAATTTAATTCATCTATTTTATAATAAGTTCAAATAGTTAATATAGTTCATTATTCAAATTAAAATTTACTTCATCTTTTTGCTTAGAAAACATTTTAAAGTATATTTGGTTAAACTATATTATATATATATATGTCAATTTCGCTTAGAAAATATTTTAAAATTCATTAAAAATGATTCCTTATAATTATAATTATTTTTATTATGTTTTAAGATAAGTTGTGCAAAATTTAAAAAAATTCACGACCGCGACACCCGCAGTGACCGCGATGGCATCCATTATCTAACAAATGCGATAAATGTGACGCGACCGAAAACGTAACTGCGAACGCTATTTAAAACCCTAATATGTAGTGTATGCTTAGCTCATTTATGGAGATAGATGTTTTGTTTAGGATTATTATTTTTGTACAACCACTTTTGTTCTTCCTTGCCTCCATATACTCTTTTGACTCTTGTGTCGTGTTTGTTTCGTAGCTGTCTTGTGGGTATCCGTATATAACACATTTAAACCAAATGTGTTGGAGTCCTTCATACTCCACCTTTAGTAGTCTCCTATCAATCTTAAGGCAAGGGATTAATGGTTTGTTTAGATCTATCACGACTGCCAGCCTTGTAAATTATCCTCGATCTCCCGCATGCGTGTTATAATCAATCTTTATGATCCTTCCCAGCGCAACAGTTATACGACAGAAAAGTGCCTTGGAGTAATGCCTATAAGTTAAACCCGACAATCTTACCTAGACAATCACATGTGAAGGATAGCTTTCGGTTTTTTAAAAGGTCCTGTTCCATGGTTAGATCGCCAAATAACTACCATATATTGTTCATTACCCCTAAGTCAACATATCAACATAATCTTGTTCGTTCTCAAATTTAACTAGGTAATACTCATTATCTAGATCCACAATCTGAAACTGCCCTTGTGATTTCCACAACATTTGAATCCTATTCATGAGGGTTTTATAACCTATGGCACGACCCAAAAGACGTACTATGATAATTCTCCTCATGTTGTAACCATTAGGTTTTCGTTGTGTGGATTCATGAGTTTTCTTTCTTTTTTACTATTACTGTTCATTTAACTATAGGATTTAAAGAATTCAAATGGAAATAAGTTAAATCCACATTATTATTATTTTTTAAAAGGGGATTCGTCTCTGTTTAAAATTGAATGATCGATTCTAGATCAGTCTCAAAACAATCCTAAAAGATGAAAGTTGATCATCTATAGAGAAAAAAACGATTTATCATTTAGACAATTGAACTCGAATAAATAAGATTATTTTTTCCTTTCAGTTTTAAGGCTTCGCTCTGATTAATTCGGATAGACTCACGTCGTACACCTGATTTTGATGGGTGAGTCTCTCGAAAATGATTTTTTGCATTCACAAGATCTCAAGAACTCAAAACTTGCGTAAACGATATCAAATTGTTTACCACTTAAATCAACCCATTGATCATAAATAAGATTATTAAATACACTAATTCATTCCGGGATAAATATCCTATCCATCAAGATTTTAATAAAGGGAAAAAAACAACTGATTCATGAATCAAGAATAATTTCATCTGTATGGTCACACAGGAAACCGAAATTTGTTTGGCAGGTCAAACTTTTTGTTCATATATGTAAGGTCTATTTTTCTATAGCATGTGATTCTCTATATATTCATCCTTCGAACTTAGGCCCCTTATAAGAGCAAATGGAACAGTTATTTGGTGATTATAAAGATCTAATTAAACGCTTATCTCAATAATAAAAAAATATCAGTGGCTAATTTAATTATATAGAGTGGGTGACCAAAAAAGTTACTAAAACAATTCAATGCCTTTATTTCAAGGCACCTCCTTTTTCTTTAATATTTATTGGAGTTAATTTTATCACATGTTCTCAAAGTATTACCTTCATTTTAAATTGGTCCTTAAACTTTTAAATATTTTAATTTCATCCCTAAACTATAACTATCATTTTAAATTTGTCCTCAAACTTTTAAACATTTCATTTTCATCCTCAAACTATGGTCTTCATTCTGAATTGGTCCCAAACTTTTTGAATATTTCAATTTCATCTCAAACTATACGTATATCTCTTGTTAATAAAATTGTTAGGCCGAGTTATATTACTATATGTTTAAAAAAATAAATTTTTGGTTAATCTATGGTTAAAACTACTTACATTTTTTAGATGAATTTGGGGATGAAATTGGATTAATCAAAAGTTTGGGGACCAATTAGAAGAGGGTCGTAGTTTAGGGATGAAATTATAATATTCAATAGTTTAAGGATAATTTAGAGTGAAATTGAAATATTGAAAAGTTAAAAGACCAATTTGAAATAAAGGTTATAGTTTGGGGACATATAATGCAATTAACTCTATTTATTGTGCATGAGTTTTTTGTTTTCAAATTATTAAAGAATGTTTTCTAAAAGTTTTTTTTTCAGTGAAATGTGTTTCCGTATTATTAAAATTTTAAAATAAATCAAGATTTAATCCTAAAATTAATACTTATCATGCTAAGAATCAATTTTTTTAATTTTTTTTTGAAAAGTTACACTTAACCCAGAAAATTTTAAATATTAAAAATAATATTATTAAGAGAAATAATCACAAATTCTAAACGAATAAACCTCAACTACATGATAAATAATAGGCCCCTAAACACCTTATTCCTAATCCTCACAAGCTCTCCTTCAAGTCCTACTACTTAAAACTATTTCATTTTCTTGTCTCTTGATTTTAATAAAACTTCATTCGTATAAAAAAAACTATTTCCTTTCATCGTATATTAGTACGAGAAGATTATAATGCTAATATCTATTTAAAATATTTTTTAATCATTGATGACATATACTCAAACTAAAGATCTCAAGAAAAAATAACTCTTCCTTTAACCATTAAAACCTTTTGATGGATTCATTCTCGTCATTTAATTATCTTTGTTCAAGCTCTTCCTCGTCTCAATCAAAATTTACGTACATAATCAAGATATTTTTCTTCCTAAAACTATACAAAGTAGCTTTATAAATCTACACATGCATTAATTATTAACTTAGTATGAATTGTCATAAAAAATAGTATATAAATCTTTTTAAGAGTTCATCCAAATAGAAGACTATACATCATTCAAATCACTCCTAATATTATTAATGTTTTGACGAACCGTTTGTCTTTATGTTAAAAAGTTGAAACTTTTAAATGGTAAGAAGCTTGATATCGTTTAAGCAGTTTTTGAGTTTGAGTCTTTGTGTAGGCAGAAAATTTATGTTGAGAAATTCACCCACTAAAACTAGATATATGATCCGAATCAATCCGAATTAATAAAGATTAAACTTTGGAAGCTGAGGTAAAAATAAAAACATTTGAAACTTTCACGTTATACTATATCTATAAAATGCCGCCCCCTCCACCCCTCCTTCCCCCATCTACTCTTCTACTTTTCTTCTTCATGGAAGCCACTCCTCAATGCAGAAACCAAACTGACAATGATTCCTTTGATGAAAATGGAATCCTTTTACCAGGTCTACCTGATGATCTAGCTCAACGTTGCCTCTTTTCTCTTTCTCCTTCCCTTCTTTTCTCCGTTTGCCATCCATGGCGTCGCTTCCTTTACTCTCCATCATTCCCTCCCTTCTTCTCCCTCTATGCTCTTGTTTCTCCTCTGCAAAATTCCACTCCGAGACACCCTGGACAAGTTGTTCCTCAAAACACAATTGAATTCATCTCCTTTGATCCAATCTCATCATCTTGGACACCCCTTCCTAGCCTTCCACAAGACCCTCCTCTTCATCTCCTCCATCGCCACCCTTCTTTTTTATCCCGGAACCTTCCGATACAATCCTTGACAGTCTCCAATCATTTAATACTCATAGCTGCAACAAGTCACAAGCTTTTACCTGCACTTTCCAGCCCTTTAGTCTTCAACCCGGAGTCCAGCAGCTGGTTCTACGGCCCCCAAATCTCCACCCCGCGGCGGTGGTGTGCTACAGGCTCAGTCCGAGGTGTGGTCTATATGGCAAGCGGCATTGGCTCCCTTTACAAAGGCGATGTGGCGAGGTCATTGGAACAATGGGACCTAAACAAGAAGAGAGAAAATTGGAGATGGGAAAACAAGGCAGAGCTTAAAGATGGAAGGTTTAGCAGAGAAGCAGTGGAAGCAGTTGGATATAGAGGGAAGCTTTGCATGGTTAATGTCAAAGGCAATGCAGTGAAACAAGGTGCAGTTTACGATGTGGGATTGGATAAGTGGGAAGAGATGCCTCAAGGCATGGTTGCCGGTTGGAATGGGCCGGCCGCCGCCATGGATGAAGATGTGATTTATGTGGTTGATGAAGTCAAAGGTAGCTTAAGCAGATACGATGGTGAAAGAGATTGTTGGGTGAAAGTGATTGAGTTGGAACAGCTCAAACGTGCAGAGCAGATAGCAGCGGCGAGAGGGAAAATTTGTGCAGTTTCAGGGAATGGGGAAAGGATTATAGTGGTGGATGTTGGGGATAGGCCTGCCAGATTTTGGGAGGTGGCGCCACCGCGTGGGTTGGAAGTGGTGGCGGTGCATGTTTTGCCTAGGATGTGTAGTAGACAACGCTAGATAGTATTTCCAATCATGTCCCATAAGAAACCTAGTTGCTAGGTCGCTTCTAAACTTTCCCCGTCACCTTAGTTTGTAAACTTTACTCAGCAACCATTACGTCTCATCCTAACTATAAAGCACATTATAAAATTATTCTATCAAAAAGGATTCATAGCACATTAAACAATTACTCTATCTAGGTCTATAGATTTAGATCACTTGCTCATTACTCTATCTAGATCTACGGAGTAATAAGAAAGACTCCACATGAATATTGTTGTACCATCTCTGTATATTCTTCGTAAGATTAGTATTTCAATATTAAGATCTTTGAGTAACCCTTCCAAAAGTTTCGAGAGAACACCTTCGGAAGAAGGATTTCAAATGTCACATATTTTGAGTAATTGTAACATCTTGACATGGTCTTTAGCAAGTCAACGTAATCAATCAAAATTAATTGTCAGTCAACCGTGTTTACTGGGCATACCAACCTATGAATAATTATCATGATTAATACCAACACTAAAAGTTATTATAAAACCTACTCACCAAAAACTAAGAGAAAGATTTGGAATTATTTTTAATATTATTTCATTAAAAATATTATTTATAGTCCATAATCTTTTAAATTTATTTTAATAATTTTTATGAATCATATAAGATTTTAATAAAATGTAACTTGCCAAAGTCACATGAATGCTCATATAACTAAGTTGATATGATATGATTATATATGTGTATGTATAGATGGATATTTAAGTTACGGTGGATATCGGATTCATCAAGTGATCTTAATGGTTAAGGAAGATGTTATTTTTTTTAAAGATCTTAGGTTCAAACAACCGCATCTACATGATGTGCTCATTATCAATGATTAAGAAATATTATAAATAAAATTACTGTTAAAAAAGAAAAGAGGGTAGGTTGGTATCATGACACGTCTATTTGAATAAGCCAAAGATTAAATTTGATGGGGCAAGGCTAGCTAAGGACTTGCATGGCTCCTCCTTTAATCAGGGACGAATCTATTAAATGGATGGGAGGGGTTGTGGCCCTGCAATCCGGAAAAAAAATTATTCCCTTATTTTTTTTATAAAATTATATTTTATTCCTGAACTGAAACCTTAACTCTATGCCTGTGTCTAATATCCTAATCTGATAGGAAAAGGGCAAAAGGCTGGCCGGTATGGTAATTATGGATGTTTCCATTTTACTTCTTTAGTTGCGTCAGTGATAATATACAACAATGTTCCAAGGGATAAAATGGTCATCCTAATTGCATTTGGTCAAGACCTTTTAATTTTAATAAATAGAGTGGAGAGGTTAACCCAACTCTAGCTTGTTTGGTCAAATATACTTTTATTCAACTTATAACCAACTCATTTATGTTATTATATATGTTGTGATTCAAAAAGTTTTCAACTTTTTTAATATTTTATTTTAAATTCTGGTCTTTTTTACCAGCAATTTGATATTGGAAATATAAAAGGAATATATTTTTACCTGACATTTTGTTCTTTACCACTTGTTTGATTCTACTAATTCTACCACACTCACTTCATATCAATTTTGATAGGAAATTTGATTCTAAAGAAGCAATTTATGGAAATACTATAAAAGTATACAGGAAAACTAAAATTATAAATTTTACTATTAATAACATTTTTTTATTTTTATAAATAATTTAATTTTTTTTATTATGTATAATATAGGGAAGTCTAAAAAATAACGTAATTTAAGGTTAAAAACGGTGAAAATAAGCGCAACCGAAAATGTAGTAAAAAAACATAAAATATTAGGTCAAATACAAACTAAAATGTTACATTCTTAATAATATTTTCGGTTGAACATAAAATGTTATATTCCTCATAACATTTACGAAGAATGTATCGTTTTAGGTTGTATCCAACCTAAATATTATAATATTTTATAACATTGTTTGTTGCACTTATTTCTACCTTTTTTAGTCTTAAATTATTAGGTTGTACAACAAAACTACCCGTATAATATTTAGGGTAAACTACAATATATATAACCAAACTTTAGGCATTGCATTGTTTATACCACTAAACTTTTAATTTTGTCAATTATAGCACTAAACTTTGATTTTCGTTTCAATTATACCACTGTATCGTTAAATCGTTAACGGCACAATGATGTGGCTAACGGTTGTCGACGTAGACACCTAACCAAAGCGACATCGTTTTGATTTGGCTCTTAAGATTTAACGGTCCAATGATATAATTGAAATGAAAATAAAAGTTTAGAGCTATAATTGGTAAAATTAAAAGTTTAGTGGTATAAATGATACATCATCTAAAGTTTGGTGGTATTTGATATAATTTACCCTAATATTTATTTATTAAAAAATATGTGTTGGAGATAATCGTAAACGTGGGGTTCACATAAAAAGCTAAGAAATAGAAGATTCAAAGACAAAAAGGCATCCAACCCTAACTTTCATCAGCCAATAAATGCCCAACAACTCCCCCTACCTTTTCTTATTTATTATTCTCTTCAATTGCAAAAAAGAGAAAATGTTTGATCTCATCTTTTTCTTTGCTTTCTCCTCTTACTATTAATTCCTACATCAAATTTTAGAAGATATTTTTCATCTAAACTTGATTGATTTTGCACCACTCAAGCGAATTTGAGGGTATTTCTTGAAGTCCCGAGATTGAGTACCAAGAATGTTAGAGATATGAGTGTTTAATATCAAATAATTGATAATTATCTTTAAACAAATATTGTCTTGTACTTATCCTAGATTAATAAAAAAAATTAACTGATTTTTTATTTTATAAACAGCATTTAATAAATTACATGTCTACAATTTTTATTTGAAAAGCTGATATATTTCTTTTAAAATTCACATCATATATTTTAATAACTCCAATATTGAATTTATTTATTTTGGGATTATCATGGGTCTTGTAATGATTTCTAATGTGAGATTTTGTTTATGGAGCAATAAAGGCTAAATATAGGAACAGAAATATGGACCTTGTGACCCACATAGCCTATGGAGGTGAAGCAAAAGTTGAAGTTGACAAAAATAAATGTCAATTTCCTATCATCATTCATTTTTTCTGTTTAATCGTTGATATTTAATCTATTGATCAATTATTTTAGATTAAATTTTATAAAAATTTATTATAAAAGTACCTTCTTTAACTTAATTTATTACATTGTTAAGCGCCATAATTTTCTTATCACCATTCTGTTTGATATTATACTCTTGGTACTATGGGGTATTCACATTTTTTCAATTATAAAAGAGTTCTTGTTAATTACATATCAACATTTTCTCTCTTATAATTTAATTTATTATTTTTGTATTTTTTCGTATTCATTTTATGGTATATGTTTAAATTTCATGATTTTCCTACTCAATAATATTATCTTTAAAATTTATCCTTAACGTTAAGGTTTAAATGTAACCTTTTCTTTAAAAGTGTAAGAGATAATTGTAAAAGATGTCTCTAAATTATGATTCTATTTTTAAAATATTCTAAATTAGTCCCCAAACAATGATCTCATTCTAAATTAATCATTAAACTTTAAAATATTCTATATCAATCCTTGAACTATCAATATCACTCTATTTTGATCCTTTCATTAAATCGATGTTAACTCTATTGATTAAAAAATTTAATCTTTTTAAAGGCCCCAAGAATTGAACTTGTGACCTTTTTAACAACATGTTAGTCAAAGAATCAAAATAAAGTGATATTGACAGTTTGTAGATTGATATAAGATGTTTTAAAGTTTATAGACCAATTTCGAATAAGATTATAGTTTAGGAACTTATATAAGATGTTTTAGAGTTTAGAGACTAATTTAAAATGAGAATCATAGTTTACGAACATTCAATACAACTAACTCAAAATACAATGTATCTTATCACTATACCCAATATAAATTATTCAATTTATTGATTTTTATTACAATTATATATTTATTTAGTTATTTAAATTTGAATAACTTTGGATAATTCTACAGTGGACGTCGTATACCGAAATATACTACTAATATGACACAACAAAACACACCACTAACTAAATTATCTTTATTGAGTAAATATTAAAAACTTTACTATACCCAATATATTATTCAATTTATTGATTTTTATTACAATTATATATTTATTTAGTTATTTAAATTTGAATACTTTGGATAATTCTACAGTGGACGTCGTATACCGAAATATACTACTAATATGACACAACAAAACACACCACTAACTAAATTATCTTTATTGAGTAAATATTAAAAACTTTAAGGAACACTCCAAGATTAATTCATTTTAAAAATTTAAATTTTGATTATAATTAGAATATAATTAAATTATTATTTTTTATTAAATTTATTATTATTATTATTATTATAAAATTTCATTTTTTTAAGAATTAGAACAATTATGTTATAAATCAGTTGCCTCCATAGGCGTTCATACCTAAGATGCTGTCAGTGATCGTTTCTTATCGGAAAAATGATTTTTTCTTCATTCCCTATCACTAACGACCTAAATCAAAAGGGGTATACTTGCTCTTCTCAACAAACGTCGCCCATTTCGCTGTCAGTAACATAATTGACTGTCGCACACCCCTATCGTTCCTCACATGCCGTCGAATTTTTTCTCCCATTTTCAAATTGCTTAGACACCATCGGAGAATCTTGAACCATCTACGACCGTCGAGTTAGCAATAGTGCCCTAAGTCTATTGTATGAATATGATATTTTGATTATTGAATTTATTATTATAATAATTTGCATGCCTTTTGTATATATTAATATATTTGATTGTTGTTGTTAATTATTCTAAATATCCCTAATCGATTATTGTTATGGGGACGATAATAAAATAAGATTGGTATGCAGTTTGATAGATATTCATGGGATAAATATGTGAATGTGATTCAAATCAAATTCATATATATTTGTTGAAAAGAAATATTGAATCGACTCATTTTGACATAAATACATCAATCAATGTCATATAATAATCTTCAATAGTTATGCTGAAT